GGGATTTAGGTCTTATGAGCGATTGGTACTATGCTCATATGCGGAACTATAAGAGAATATCGCTACCACTGTTTACCACAGTACTCTATCACACAAGGAATTCGGATGCTTAGCTTAGAGGTGAAATTGCGATGCAAGGCTCAAGGCATTTTAAAGGTTTGCAGGTAAAAGGGCCAAGGCCAATGAACAACACGACCCTATGTGGGAAGTGATTTAAATTCGGGTCCAATTTTAAGAGCCTAAGCTGGTACTCTTATAGAAAGGGCACTTATATAAGGGACCCCAGCTGATATAGAGAACTACCCAGGCGGTCTTACATTCGCATTTGCGCCTGACTGCTGGTCTAAATATTCTGGTTTGGGGCTTTAAGATCTGGTGGGATAACTAAGTGTTAAGTTACTGGGGTACAAAATACCTGGTTAGTTACCTACTGTGTGGGTAGCTGGAGCCTACTTGAGCAGCTGTGGGCTTCGGGGCTTTGGGCTTTTCGCGGTTTGGGATTGGAGTTCGCCCTCGAAACCGCGACGTAGAACAAGTCTCAGCTGCTTTTGCACAGTGAATGAACCCGAAGGACCAATCGAGCCAGCAGAGCAGTTCAGACGACGACCCCCCTAAACCTATTATCTTCACACATACCAAAACCCAATATATATATATATATATATATATATATACATATATATACATATATATATATATATATACATATCACGGCAAAGCCCAACACCGCAAAACTATCAGGCTGTCGTCTGCTGCATATTTTGACGCACGGATCATCAAGTGAATGTGTCGATTGCAACTTACTGAGGCTCCTGGGGTCCGAGGGCCATGAAGACCCTAATCCTAACTCAGCAACATCTTCCTGAAGCCTGGGCATCCCCTGATGTTCGGAAACTCGCATATAGTGAACCCTCTAGGTTATCCGCGAAGCTTACGATCGAACTGCCGGCTTGCTTGGTCCTTAAGAAAGGAGCTGGCCAACTAAATCGCGCGCCGGCAGCCAGCAGGAATTGCAAATAACATATCTGTTCCGAACCTGCTTTGAGATTTAGAAGCTTGGTAGAAAACTCGAGTACAGTTTTGTAGGACCTGTATCGTGAGGGGTTGCACACAATATTTAGGGTTTGTGGTGACTGATAATCAGATGGATGGATGGATGGATGGACGGAAGGAAGGATGCATAGTTGTAAATGTTGTAAAGCCGGGAGGGCATGTCGCGCTTTACCAGGAACCCTCAGTGGTCGGCAGTAGAGCATACGTGGAGGTGCTTTCACAAGCTAAGGCCAAGCCCGAATGACCATCAATGTAGTGGCTAGAGCTGCATGCGTTGGGATGATTACAGTAAAAGACGATCCTATTCCGCTCGCAACATTGCTGGGTTCATGAAGAAACACACGAGAGCCTGACGCATGACGAACCCTAAATCCAGAATCAGAAAATACGTCTGAACTGCCAACTCTCAATCGCTGCGCATCCCTGAATCCGAAACTATCCTTGGAAGATCAGAACACGGCAAGTAAGGTTGTAAGCATCCTGACTGAGGTATATGTCACTACAGTCATTACAACGTACAAGAGCTACTTTATGTCTATCCCTGAGTATACTTAGTTCCTTGCCAATGGCCCCCCCCTTAGAGACCTTAGAAAGCAAGCATCACAGGAACCCGAGTCGATACTGAACTCTGTGAATCCTTCATCCTTGCGGTGCCGTGCTCGTCTGACCATGCTCCCTTAGCTACGCTAGCCGTGGCCGAATTCGCGCATCGGATGACAATCACCAGGGCTTGGGGTTTAGGGTTTAGCAAAATTTGGCGTAGGGTTTGGGTTCAACGGCTGGGGGCTGCAGGTACAACCACAAGTAACAAGGGAGCGTACAGTAGATTAGGCATAAGCCCGTCGCAAAGGATTCTAGACCGAAGGAACTTGTTGTGATTGTTGTGCGCCTGAAAGCCACATACTTGAAACCTTTGAACCCCACCTATAGTCTCCAATGTAGTTCCTTTTTTTGGTTAACCAGTTTTATGGTTAGGATCCTATAATAGAGATTTTGGTTAACCAAAAAAGGAACTACAATGGAGACTATAGGCAATCTCCATTCCTACATCCGACTACTCTGTATGAAGTAAGGTGCCTTTGTTCTGGTCGCCCCATCAAAACGATCTCCAAATTATATGCTGACCAATATCCTGAAGAAGCCCTACACAGACCTAAACCCTCCACCGTAAAGCATAAACTCTAAACGCTAGCCGATGTTCCTTTGCATACCTTATTTCTTCAAGGCAGACGGCGAGTTCTGATGCCGGCACCATGTTCACAGCCTCAAAACCCTAATCTGCAACAGCCCTAAATCCCCCCCCACGTCCTAACCCCCAAAACTCCAAACCTCCTGGCACAGCCGTAAACCGTAGCCTATAAACTTCAATCTCCCTAAACCCTAAACCCTAAACCCAAAGCCCTAAACTGTAAGAACCCAAGAGGCCCTAGACTCTTCAGAGCTGTCGCCCAGCTGGGCCAGAATTGATTCACATCCTGAGCCCTACCTTCACATACAAAAATTTGCCTGCTGTTGCAATTGTTGTGGACTTATGACATATAATGTAAATAAATATATATGTATATATATATATATATATATAAATAAATGAAAACTGAATTGGATCTCTGGTTGAGCGATTAGGGTTGAAAGGTTTAACGTTTATGTGGGAGTTTCCGAAATTCAGGGTACCGTATTCTGGGGTCCTTATTATAATGAGGATCCTACCATTTAAAGTGCTATATTAGGGTCCCCTATTTTCGGAAACCCTCATGTAGGGTTTAAGGTTTCGGGGGCCGCGCTGAGGTCTCAAGAAACCAGGCTTTGCTTAGGGTTTCCTTAACTTTGGTTAAGACCTATAGTCTCCATTTTTTGGTTAACCAGTTTTATGGTTAGGATCCTAATAGAATAGAGATTTTGGTTAACCAAAAAAAGGAACTACAATGGAGACTATAATGGTAGGGAATGGAAGAATGGGAGTAATAGTATTTGTAGTTGTACCCCATTCCTCCATTCCCTACAACCAAAGGTAACTTTCGGGACTGTAGGCTCCAAGACCCGACACTCCAGGACCCAAAGGGTTCCTGAACCCCAAGCCCTAATGTAATTAACCCTAAGGGTCCAAGTACCTAATTATCATATACTCGCCAAAATAGTAACCCACACAACAACCATCCAAAACCTAAGTACCTAATTATTGGGTCCTTTGGGCCCTAAGGGTAAGGGCCGTCATTGATTAGTAGGAGGGTTGCGGCTCCTTTATTGCACCAAAAAAAGAAGGAGCCCTGAGAAATGGTACGGGTAACTATTTAGGGGCCTTTACTAAGCCCGATAAGCTCCACCCTGAGTTATACCATGGTCATAATAAGGACCCCAACCGCTAACAAACCAATATTGATGTTTAACTAAACCCCTAGATTCCTAGATTCGACAACTGCTGAGAGAAAGACTTGGGCCATCAATTTGTCGAAAGACTTGGGCGATCAGATTGTCGTCCGAAGCATGTGAAGACCCCAAAGTCCGTGCAGACTCGAACACAGAGTGCTGCCAGCTTTTGTTGACAAATCCCCTTCTCGTCTGGGTTTTCACGTCAAGCCTGTGGGCGTTCACATCAAAGCCTAGTCTAAGCTATTCAGACTGTCTTAACCCAAGGAGGAACCAATTAGATTTTGGGGCTGATCCATCTAGATCATATAAACAGATTTGATTCATGTCAAACCCAAGATTCTGAGCGGCTACAGCCACCTTGGGAATAAAGCACTTGCGGGCTGGATGTCAACAGGTCGGTTTACCACAGTTGGGAGTGTTGCGGCTGTGGGTACTGAAACACTTCATATAGTCGGTGCAGGTTGGTCGCCGTGAACAGAAGCTGTGTGGATAATTCCGTGCTGCTACCCCTGAACCCTAAACCCTAACTTAACCATGAACTATCTACCTGTTTAAGGTACCTTATTATGTTTTCGTCATATCCTCAAAAAGGTAGGCTATTCCAGGTTAAGTTAAGGTAGACTCTTAACCCTACTACTGCTGTAATTCCCAGCCTTACAGGGCTGAGGGCACAGGGTATCCCTGGAGGTGCAGTTCTTCTTCCGTAAAGGCGGTTTAGAGTTCTTGGGCTCGGGTTTCGGGCTTATAAGAGTAGAGGGCTTCTAGGGTACGTTGGATATGAAGAACATCTAGACCCAAGAATAACCTAGCACTAAAAAGGGTGCCCTTTTTGGTCTAAAGGGGGTTATAAGGGAACCAAGACCTTAAAAAAGGGAATAAGGGCCTACTCTGGGTCCTAGACATCATAATCAAAAACTCCCCAAACTAGTAGAATCCATAGTAATACTCAAACCCTCCAAAGCATGCGGGTGCGCTAACTAGTCAGACTGCGAAAGCCTGAGCCATAAATCCCAAGAATCAGATGACTCTTTCTACAACGACTCCCCAAAAGCGTAATGTTCTAAAACCCCACGTTGGAGTTTCAAAGCTTGTCTGTGCCACTCCGCTAAGCCTCAGTAATTGGCGCTCGCCAGCGGCAGCGATGCAACGCATCATGCCTGGGTTCCTAAGGGGTAATAGGTTTGCGATGGCTTAGGGTATATAGTTCAGCGTCGGGTTTTGTAGGGCTCAAGCGTTCGGATTTAGGGTTCTGTAAGGTTTCTTAGTAGCCCAGCAAGTTGGAACATCGAATCCTCATGCCCCTAAGGTAACGTATAGGGAATCGTAGCACTAATCATCCGAAATCCATGTTCCAACTTTCTGGTATTCGGATCATAGGGGAGAGAAGCAAACAAACCTCTCAGCCTCGGAAAGGCCTCCCTCCTGAAAGAGGATGAAACCCCAACGACGAAAGTCAACGCAGTTGCACAGCCTTCCCAAGAGCACCCGAACCACACCAAAATGCAAAAGCACCCAAGAGCACCCGAACCACACCAAAACGCAAACACATCTTGAACACTGCCCAAGCTGCGGAAAATAGTCTAGGACTGCACCTGCCCGAGGCGGGAGAGAGTCTTGGCTCTAGGCCTGATTTGGGAGTTTCCGAAAATTAGGGGTACCTTATGTTGGGGTCCTTATTATAATATTAGGATCCTACTATTTAGGGGTACTATATTAAGGTCCCGCATTTTCGGCAAGCCTCATATCCTAAACAGCTTGAGCTTGAAAGGGTTTCAACCGAACTGGGTCAATCTTGTATAGACCCTACCTGTAGCCGAAAAGCCCTCCCGTTTTAGGGTGCCCTATCATGGCTTCTACATACACAGCTCCTTGTATATCGAAGGAGACCAGACGCCCGAACTGCCATTTGGTATGCTGCTTGGGCCACAGGTACATCCTGTGGTATGTATACAGACCTACTGGAAGACCCTGGGCATGGGAAGGCTCCTGGTCCTAAGTTTCAGATTTGGGTTTAGGGTTTAGGGGTTCAGGGGTTAGGGTTTAAACTAGGGGTTAAGGGGTTTAGTGGTTTATGAGTTTAAGGGTTTAGAGTTTAGGGGTTTAGGCTTCAAGGCTTCTGCCAATCGAAAGGCCAAACGCAAGCTTGTGGAAGCGATGCGGGTACACAAGGCCGAGCAGAGACACTGTGGAGCTGCCGGAGCCGATCGACCATCCATGTTGCAGGATCAAGTGCAAGCTCGAACTGGGGAAGCGTTGTGTAATCATGCATGCATCTTTATCGCACTTTCGCCGTTTTGTCGAGCTTCAGAGCGCCTTTGCAGCTTCGTCATCAAGTGTCGTCATCCGACATTGAACCCGGTGGACGATTTCCATACTAAGAAGTGATCGGTCTGGTCCCAGCGCACACGTCCTCTGGGTGGCCCCCACCACCACAAGCGGCAGCTGGACGGTTCCTGCAAACCTGCAAAGGCGAGACGAGCGCGACTCGTGACCACAGGCCCATTGTGACATCCACGCGGCCAGCACCCCTGCCGCGCACTTGGAACCGAAAAGACCTCGGAACTCCAAGATTACTCGTTGCCCCAAGAAACAGGCAAGCTTTGCCTGCTCGTCCAAATAAGCATTCAGAATAGAAAAGCGCTTGCCATCTCTAGCAAGATCAACCTTAATGTCTCTGCCACATTCTGAGGTCTATATCTCCCTACCAGGATGAAACTCGCGTTGAAGTGGCATTGGTTCAAGGAGATATCAAGGAGTCACCTTTGTGTGCCAATTCATCTCGATGTGTTCTTGCAGGTTGTATATAGGTCGACCGGCCTGCATGACTACATCCATCTCGGCCACCGTAGGCAGCCGTTACTTCGTAGTTGCGGAGCCCAAACCTATGGAGGCCCTACGGCATTGCACTTAGAGCTTGAAGCTGCGAAGCAACAAAGCCACTGCATCACATCGAGAAGTATGCCTTCGAGTGCACTGTCTCTTTATCCGGCTCACATTCCATCTGGTTATGAATGTAAGGCGTTTCTTAATGAGCTTGTCGGCCATGCTTCTGTAAATGTACCATTTCTAATTTGCATGGCATAAACCCTGGCTACCCAATGTACTATAAAAATAATAACAATATCTGTGTTGCCTCTTACTCGGCTTGAAATTTGAATTCGACAAGAACCCAAGCCAACAAGGAACAGAAAGGCACTACTGCGGGGACATATACACCCCAAATCCTAACCCCGAACCCGCACAGAACATCCTGGGAAGAACCCATCAAGGAACCCTCAAGGGACCCTAAACCCCAAGCTCTTCGAGGTCGGCTGCAACACACCCTACACCCTACATCCAATAAAAGGTTCATATTCCCTCAACTCCAAACTCTATAAAACTCTATCAGCTATAAACTTACAAATGCCCTGCAACCCTGAACTCTATCAACTGTATAAACAAAAAAGCCCTGGACCCCAACCGACAAAGGCTCCATGCACGTAGGGGTAGGGTTTAGGGTTTAGATATGGGTGGTTGTCAAAATCATGGTCCCTTTTTGGGTACCCCAAATATTAGGTGCCGTACTATAATAAGGACCCAAAAAGGGACCATAATTTTGACAACCACCCATATGGTATAGACTTCGGCCGCATTGGGCTTCCCAGATAGGCACTTTCAGGCCGAGGGAAAAGTACGATACTGGTAGTTCTCTAAATGAGGGTCCCTTTCCCTAAGGGTCCATGTACCCAAATAGTATATACTTTGGGTCCAATGTACCTATATAGGGAGCACGCGATATATAAGAGTACATGAAGGCCAAAATATATACTATTTGGGTATATGGACCCGTAGGGTTTTTAGGCCCAGAAGACCTTAAAAGTGACCCTAATCTGGAGAATTAGGCACATGGAGCCCTAAGGAACCGAAGCTCTTCCCAACCTCCGGGCACTCGAAGGGCCACCAAGGGCAGTGCGTAACGTCCTGCCTCGGGGTTTAGGGTTTAGGATGCAGGGTTTGGGATTTAGGTTTTTAGGGGTTTAGGGTATATTGTTTAGGGTTTAGGGTGGGCTTAGAGTTAAGAGGGTGGGTCCACTTTGAACTTTGTGGCTCTATGCCCCTGCTCTGTATGATAGAGCTACAGGGATACGGCGTTCTCATGAGTGCTGTCACGTAGCTTCACACGATGCTTGTGCGGTTTGCGCTGGAATCTACACGCCATCGGAAATTTTAGTTGTCGGCAAACCAAAAAGACTGGACCCCCAAACTTCAATCCCTAAAACCCTAAAGCCTCCTCGAAAGCAGGCTTACAAGCTCCAGGTGTAATATCTTGACCAAGAACATACTGCCGATACCAAAACTGTGGTAATTCATGATCACGGTCCATACCTACACTGAGATGCTGATCGTGTAACGATAGTGGCGCCTTTCCTCCTCCACCCTCTCCTCCTCCCTCTGCTCCTCCTCATCACCATCATGACGGTCTTCATGACCGCCACACTAACCTTGGCAATTATCCCCAAACTGCTCACCAAGCCAGGCCACCGAAGAGCCACCGCCAGGTAGAGCGCATAAATCCTGGGACTTCTTTCAGGACTTCCATAACAGTACACATCAAAGTGCCGCGCTTCTTGTACTGTATTCATGTATCTTGTACTTGTATTCACACTACTTGGAGGTTCATGGATAGTTATAAGCAGGGTTATAAGACCTATATTTGGGGACTTATAACCCCACTTATAACTACCCATGAACCTCCAAGTAGTGAATCTGCGGCCTATCAGCTCAGTTTCTGACCCTCAGTCTACTAGAGAGTTGAGCCGAACATATTGGACATGAAGCCTGTAAAGAGACAGGTTCTGCGAACTTGCAGACGAAAACTGCCGACCCCACATGACAGGACAATCTCATAGCGGCAGGATTCAGATGCAAAGGACTGGAAGTTTGTGTAATTCTCATTTGCTTATAGGATTCCGGGAGATATTCTTGGCTTTAGGGCTGGAGAGCTGACTGGCCTGGGGCCTGTCTCTTCTGTAAGGCTACGGGGACAAGCCGCAGCGCCTTTGTCTAGGATATCCAGTAACCTAAGAATAACAAGGCCTCTCTTTTTGGTATTGGGTAACTTTATAAGGAACCTAGGACTACAAAAAGGGAATAAGGGTACTACTGGGCATCCTAGCTGTTGATCCCTATAAACACTGCAGAGAGGGATGGTTTTCACGGATCATGCTGGGAGTCTTGATTATAGGGCCCCACAAAAGCACCTAAGCAAAAATCAGGTTAGGGATATCCCATATAAACCCCGTTATAATGAAGCCCAGTAAGGTAGGGATATCCCTATAAAATGCTTATGCTTATGTGCTTTATGGGTCCCTAAGATTAAGACAGGAGCTGATCCAAAGCAGCAAGCAATCTCAAAGCCTGGACTGGGGAATGTTTTGCCATGCTTCATCAAGAAGAGGTAGCCAGACCACCGCGGAAATGTGCCCTTGCAGAAAATGAAGACGGAGACCACCGGCAGCAGAGTGACCTCACCGCCGTGCGGAGAGTGTTCGAAGGTTCGGGGCGGTGTTGAGGCTTTGTGGGTCTTGTGTCGGGTCTGTAGCCGTCAATCACGGCAACATGCAATGAAGACCAAAACACGAATGACGAAGAAAATTCAGAGTCAACCGTTTTATCTGGGCTGTTGTTGTACTATATTCTTCCCGCCCACGCGGCACACTTCCGACACTTCAGCAACCTTCACCCACAGTGTGCGCGCAGTCAAAAACTGAACGCCCTGCACCCTCTCTGTCTCCCTTGGTCACTTCCATCCATTCGGGGGATGCTTGTTGGGCTCTACTGGTATCATACGATGGTGTATAGAGAAACAACGAACGCAACGGACCGCAGCCTCCAAAGTATCTGTAAAGTAAAGTGTAGGGTTTTCATACTATACGAAATTACTATATGACTTGGGGAAGTATCCTCCGCAACAGTACCTAAAACCATTTGGAAGGTTAGACAACGGCAATGGCAAGGTGCATAGATCTCCACCACCGCAGGTGCCAGGCCGTTGAAGGGCATGTTGAAGCTGCCCCTGCACGGTTTAGTTTGTTTTATTTGTTTGACGCCTTCTTCCACCCAACAGTGCAAACAGAATCCCACGAGAGAAGGCGTGAAAGTCATAGGTAGTTCAGGAGACAGGAAGGAGTCTATCCACCTCTAAATATCATCGCATTTTCCTGCTTGCCAAAATCGACCTAAAGATTCCTGGTAGAAGTGGTTGGCAGGGAGGCACAATGCGGTGCGGGGGTAGACAAAGCGGACGTGGACAGCCAAGACGTGGTGGATGTAGTCGAGGTGGTACGGCTCCAAGTAGAAGAGGTCCAGGCAGTGGTCCGCAAGGTAACTGAACGCAATGCACAAGTCGTTTCAGTACTGTGCGACGGCGTCATTTGCGTTGTGCCAGACACCAAAAAAGGATCCCCCAACGACGCCGCATTCACCATTGGCGAGCAAGTTCACATGCTCCACAGGGTTGAAGGTTTAGGGAGGCGTTGCAGGCGGCTTTAAACAAACATGTTCAAGGGAGATTGGGTTTAGGGATTGGGAGGTTTAGGGGTATCTGCGCCGTTTGGCATTCGAGGCAGCCCGAAGAGAAGCGGAGACAAGGACAGCCGAAACACGAAAGCCGAATCCTCTGTAGAAGACTCCTCCATTCATTCTCCTTGTCAAAACCCCAAAGCCAAACCCCCTACACCCTAAACCCCGAAAAACCTTACACCGCAAAGCCCCCAAATCCCCACTGTTTCAGGATCAAGCTCTCGGTTTCAGAGCCTTCGATTCGTCTGCAAACACGACTCTGGCGGGCATGTAGCTGTGGAGGGTTCGGGGTTCAGCGGCCCGGTGACTATAGTCCACTATAACAGATTGAAATGTACTCTAACGTACTCGAATATACGACCATACCACACTATCCAACAGCATACTACACTATGCTGGATTATGACAAGCTATACTTTATACTGTGCTGCACCCCCGCCCCCCCTCCAGAACTCCAAATAGCCTACCCACTAAACCCTCATGGATTCCCTGGGTCCCTGTCTAAGTGTATCCCGTAGTGGGCCTACCATAGTACTTAGAACAGGGCATTGAAGCACATATCGCGGATCCAAGAATCTGCGTATTTTTAGAACCTTGCAGACAGCTGTATTCCCCACGACATCACCAATATTACCCCTCATGCCCTGCGCCCGAAGAGCTCCACCAAAACCAAAAGCCCTAAAGATCTTCAGCCTACCGTCTCCATTGTTTTCTGTTTAGGACTTACCTACTTGTCGTGTATCATGGGGACCTGAAGGTTAACCTTTTTGGCTATATAGAGATGATACAGGGGCTATACTAAACAAAAAAAGGTTAAAGGTTACCTACTCTACTACTAGGTTTCGGATCCTGTACGGTAACCCCGAAAAGGAATTGATGAGACTTCGAGAACAACTGAAGCTCTTGGAAACTATGGCTCCTACGAAAGCCTAAACACAGCCATAAAAAGCGCGAAGAAATCCCTGGAATGAAACCCTGTCACACCCGAAAAAACTGAAATAAAACGGCGCCTGTTGATGCAGCATTGAACCGCCCAGGGAATGGCCAACGCCAGGAAAACATTCTGGACCTCACACGTCGGCGCTTCTAAGTTTGAGTTGGGAGGTGTAGAGGTACCCTAAGGGTCCAAAGGACCCAGTAATTAGGTTCTCGGGTCTAGGATAGTAGTCATGTAAGGGAGTATTTGGGAGAGTATATGATTATTGGGTACTTGGACCCTTAGGGTTAGGGTTTAGAGTCTAGGGTAAAAGGTGCAGGACTAGGGTTGTGGCACAAAAACTGAAGCATTCAACACGCTTCTCAAAACAAAGCCACCTGTTCGACACCGTAGGCGTGTCCTGGTAGGGTCTAGGGGTTCGGGATTCAAGCAAACTGAATGCAGGGGCCTTCGTAACTAGCATGTGTTTTAGGGGTATCTTGTCTTAGAGTTTGTTTAAAGGGGTTGTAGCCCAGGGCCAAACCCCAAAACCTGACACTTTAGACATACATGGAGGCGACAATTATTCGAATACCCAAATTTCTAAAGTAACGATTATGATTATGGTGTTGGTAAGTATCCCCCCCCTGTAGAGGTACTTAGGTCCCTTTGGGATAAGGGCTTTGGTGTCTGGCTAGAATACAGGTTTATGTGTCGGGACGAACCCACAGCTCCATAACATGTCGAGCTGCGAAACTATCTGGGGATTTCCGAAAATGGGGGCTCCTAATATAGATAAGATCCTTCTTGTGAGGACCCCAGAATCAGGTACCCCTATTCTCGGAAACTCCCTATCTGAAGCTTGGGTGTGCAAGTTGCAGCCTGACACCTCAAAGAGCCAGAAGTACCTAGAATCTACCCTGAACGCGACCCTAAACCCTCAGCCTCTAACCTCAGACCCCTAAACCCCTCAACCCTCAACCCTAAACCCTCTAACCCTAAACCTCGTAACCCCTAAACCCCTAAACCCTCAACCCTAAAGTTTGTGTTCTTGTTATGCTTGGTCCATGAATTTCAACTGCGAAGCCGCTAAACTGACTGGACCCTGGGTTTAAGGATTAGGGCTCAGGGCTTGGGGTTTTGGGGTTCAGGGGTTTAGGGGGTTTAGGATTTAGGGCTTAGGGTGCAGATTCAAGATGCTGGTCGGGAGACACGACTCGCCGAATGTTCCAGTGCTCCCTCGTCACACTCCCGATGATATATCCGTATGTATGTGTGCATATACATATATATTATAAAGTAACATAATAAATAAATAAATAAATAAATAAAGAAATATATATACACACACATATATACACATATGTATATACACATAGAGATACCAGCCCGAATTAAACCCAAACCTTGTTCTATTGATCAAACCCACTCCATGAAAACCCCATCAACACTCCCTGAGACCGTGCAAACACCATTGCAACTACCCAGGCTAAACCCTAAACATCCCTAAACCCTACCTTAACCTACCAAACCCTACTTTTTGTCGGTTCTGATTATGAACCCTAATATGGAGTTTATAGGGACCCTACAAATAAGTAGGGTTTGGTAGGTTAAGGTAGATCGTAAACTGAACTTAGGCCAAGGCGTTTGCGCCCAGGGCGTTCGCAACGGCCATTGTGGTCTTGCCCTGCCTGGTTCGGAATCGAGCTTAAAGCCACAGCCCTAGATCTTGTGTATATTCATATTTTGATTAGGATTTATAGGGTCTAGGGATATACATAGGTGTATTCATATTCTGATTAGGATTTATAGGGTCTAGGGATATACATAGGTGTGTTCATAATATTCTGATTAGGATTTATAGGGTTTAGGGATATAGGTGTAGGGCAGTGCAGGGTTGAAGGTTTAGGGATTGAGGTTTACGGTAGGGCCCCAAGTATTTGGAATAAGCTTTTGTGATTGCGGCAGTGAGCTACAAGGGCCCCTACATTAGGCCTCAAGCTTGAACCAAGACCCTGATGCAGAGCTCAGGCTTATACGCTTCAAAGTCTGAAACCGATTGGTGAATGTGATGACAAGGTGCCTTCAACCAGCTTTATATTAGGGCCGAAACATATATAGCCGCTACAGTACAGCCTATCTACAGATCAAGCATGTTGGACAGGTGAGCGGTGAGCTTGCGAAAACTGCTCCAATAACAATTGAATGCTAATAACTGATCAATCTCATTAGCAGCTTAGCAAGCCAAACCCCCAAGGTACGGTAGCCGAAGGGCCAGCAACCTCTGTGCGGAATGATCCTCTCGGAATTGCAGCAGAACGCGGTCCACCTGCACTTTTGCCGCAGTGCAATGCGCCGGAAGAACCTGGCCTCTCCGATGCAGCGCCGTCGGCTTTGTGCGTAAAGGACGAGGCCGAGGTCACATGCGGAACCGTGACAAGGCGCCATAAATGCTGCAGAACGTGCCATCTGGGGCGCTCTGCAAGCAGCTCCTCGGCACATGCGGCGCCATCTGCACCCTCTGCCTGTTCATCTGCCTTGTCTCTCCACAGACGCCACCACAAATCTAAACCTCATACCCGAACTGACGCAAGACCCTAAACACTAAACCCAAAGCCCCAAACATGATGAAGATGGACTTCTCCGAAACCACCGCTGCCACGAACAGTGCGAAAATTAGACAACCCGTCTCAACCGTAGTACAGCAGGGGTCTTGATAATTAGAACAGGGTTTGGTGTTCGTGCAAAAATGCTATAAGGAACCCGAAAGAATATTCTTGGTGATGGTTTTGGCTTCTACAAAACCTTTCACCTATAAGCCCTAAACCCATCCCTAAGCCCTAAACCCTAGACCCTTAAACCTGAAACCAAGAGCCCTAAACACTTCAAACCTGAAGCCTCTGAACCTAAGCCCCTGTGCCTGGAGCTCCAATACTACTTCTGCAACTCGCTCCTGCCTCGCCACGCACATCCCTGAGAAGACGTTGGGAAACGATGTCCCTGCTGCCGCAATGGTGTATCCTGAGTCGAACTGTGGGAAGACTCTGCATCTCTTTCTGCGCAGATCGCGTTTAGGGTCCCAGTGCTAAGGACTTGAAAGTGAGGGTTCAGGGTTTAGGATTTAGGGCTGTGGGTTCAAGCGCTGTGGTTGGAGAGATGGGCACGCTGATAGCTAGTTAGGTCGATCGGTACAAAGCAATTTGGTTGGATGGAGAGCGAGAAAACAAAGGCGCCTCGTCGGTAAAGAGTTGCATGAGCAAGAGGTATCCCGGCCTTATGGCAACCTGAAGTTTACGACCCAAACAGTCATAACTCCTATGCCCTATACCTACCTCAACAGACTATGTCCTCCAACCCGACACCCGAAAACTTAAACGCAAAACCCGACACCCCAAAGCCCCAAATTATCCGCAAAGCCCTAAATCTGAGAAACTAAACCAACTAAACCCTACAACCTCAAAGCCCAAAATCCAAAGGCCTAAACCACCTAAATCCTGAACCCAATAGCCACAAACATCTGAAGCCTAAACCCTCTAAGCCCTGAACCCCAAAGCCACAAACGTCTGAAGCCTAAACCCCCATAACCCTGAACCCCAAAGCCACATATATAAACCCCCAACACCACGAACATCTGAATCCTAAACCCCCTAAAACACCAAGCCCCCATCTCTAGGACTATAGGGTTTAGGGTCTAGGATTTGTATTTGTTTGTGATCTCTAGGACTATAGGGTTTAGGGTGTAGGATGCAGATGTCTGTGATCTCTCTCTCTCTCTCTCTATATATATATATATATGTATATACAGGGTTTATAGGGTGTGGGGATTAGGATTCAGATGCTTGTGACCTATAGGGTTTAGGGTTTAGGGTTCAGATGTTTTTGGCTTTCACAACGTCTGAATCCTAAACCCTAAACCCAATGAGCCCTAAACCCTATGGATCCCAAAGCCACAGACATCTGAAGCCCTCCCTTTCCAGCCCAAACTCCGAGGACCGAGGTGGAGATCCCGAAGTCCTGCAGATTTCGTTTGAAGCTGAAGGGTTTCGCGCCTGGGCTTAGGCTGTAGGGATTTAGGGTTTAGGGTTTAGGGAGATTTCGTTTGAAGCTTACCTAGACCCTCAAAAGTAGGCAAAATAATGACCCAAAACCTATAAAAGGCTATTATTCTACAGACTTTTGGGGTCCAGGTAAGGGTTTCGCGCTTACGGCTTAGGCTTTAGGGATCCTTTAAAGGGATCCAGAAGGGTTCTATAAGGGATCTATGGGGTTTGGGGTTCCCTTTAAAGAGATACATCAGGGTGCCATCAGATTTCGCTTGAAGTGTATGGGTCTGTTTTAGAGATTAAGGGTTTCGTCGTTTAGAGTCTAAGGGTTTAGGGGTGAATGGTTTTGGGTTTAAGGGTTTAGGGGTTTAGGGCTTTGGGCGTTTATGGGGTTAGGGGTTTAGGGGTTTAGGGTTTATAGGGCTTCGAGGTTTAGGGTGTACGGTTTAGGGTTCTCGGAAAGCCTGAACTCTCCACTCTAAACCCTAAACGCTAAACCCCTACACCCTAAACCCTAAACCCTAAACCCCTACACCCTAAACCCCTACACCCTAAACGCTAAACCCTCAACCCTAAACCCCTACACCCTCAATCCTAAACCCTCAACCCTCAACCCTAAACCCCCTACACCCTAAACCTTAAACCCTAAACCCCTACACCCTAAACCCCTAAAGCCCTAAACCCCTAAACCCTCAACCCCTAAACCAACATCGACCGAGTTCTGTCCTGATGGATCCCATCGCAGGCAGCCACCACGCAGTAGGCAAAAACGGCCAGCCAAAGCATGCTCATGACCTTGGGTCCAAGGGGAAAAGGAGGGACCCTTACTAAGGACCCCTAGGTATATACCCTTAATATAGCTAGTATATACCCATTATATAGAGCCCAATTATAGGGTAGGGGTCCCTATTAAGGGTCCCTCCTGTTCCCCTTTGATTGGGGTTTTGTAGGGTTTAGGGTTGTAGGGTCTCTAGGGGTTGAAGGTCAATTTTGCTGAAAAATAACCTCAGATTTGCTGAGCCCAAGTAGTCCTTACGTATGGCTTTTGGTACCTGAAAAGGCCCTAAAGTCCTACAATAGGGAATACTTGGATCCTTTCAAAAAAGGTTCACATATATGATCCCGGTTCTCGGTTCACCGACCCCCCCCCCCCCCCCCAATGGTATCCCCCCCCCCCCCCGGCTCCCCAAGCCGAACTGTGCAAGCTTTTTCCACACGAGGGCTCACACGCCAAGCAGACCCACGCAGGAAACCCAAACCACACCACACCACAGGGGGGAGTGGGGCAAGCTTTTTCCACACGAGGGCTCACACGCCAAGCAGACCCACGCAGGAAACCCAAACCACACCACACCACAGGGGGGAGTGGGGCAAGCTTTTTCCACACGAGGGCTCACACGCCAAGCAGACCCACGCAGGAAACCCAAACCACACCACACCACAGGGGGGAGTGGGGCAAGCTTTTTCCACACGAGGGCTCACACGCCAAGCAGACCCACGCAGGAAACCCAAACCACACCACACCACAGGGGGGAGTGGGGTAACCAGCCTAAGCAGACCCACTCCCGAGCCACACCACACGACACCATAGGGAGGGGGAAGCAACCCACAACCACACCACAATACAGGGGGGAGGAGGAACCATTGGGGGGGGAGGGCGGGGGGCCGGCCGAACCGGGATCATATATTTTGTGGTTCTTGGGGTGCGCGTGTGTAAACTCGACATTTCATGAATTTCACGGAAGCCCTACAGAAAATATCTTTCTGGGGACTTGTGTTTCTGGAAATCCTAAAACAGCAGCCCTAAAATGCTTAGGTCGTTTAGGGTTTTGGTAGGGTCTAAGAGCGTCGGGGCCCTAGATCCTAAACGCAGCGAACGACAGCTTACCTCGCCCTGAGCACCAAGCCTTGCACAGCCGGATCCTGACAAGAAGCCGGGGGTTCAAACAGACCAACACGAGGACCTACTGTAGACCCTTATATTGCCTGTAGTTCTCTAAATTAGGGTCTCTTTTGGGGTCGCGCACATTGGTACAGCACCCGTAGACATCTGGCCCTGGCTTGCCTAAAGCCCCTATAGCCTGAGCCAAGCGCTTGAACTGGAAACAGCCTACACACACCAATGTCGGCATGAGTTCATACGTACAGACAGGACCTTCATTCAACAGAAACGCATTATGAACAACTTGTAAGCGCACTTAAACACAAAGCCTCTCCTATCGTCCGCACAGCTTTCATTGCACATGCTACCCCGCACATTGACACATCATCCACGTACCTTCAAAGCATATTCCAACAACCTGTCTGGACCCTGAAACACCTACCTTGTGATGTAGGACTCCTTTACATAACAATGTATCGAAACCATCAATAATCAGCAACCCAAAGAAGTTAGGTTATTCAGGCTTTAGGTACACCCGAATTCCTCATGCCCGAAAATGCTCTCTCTGCCGGGACCGAGCTGCAAAGGCTATGGGATAAAGGTCCTCCAAGTCCTCGCGGCTCACCTGAGGGGGACAAGGACTATAAGGTTAGAGCCAAGAAACATGATCACAGGAAACAGTTGCCATTCATAACTAAACCTTTTACTGTTACAGGGTAACCGCTGCTCAGCGATACACCGAAAAGCTAAGAGGGCGCGGTTGTATTTGAAAGGTACGTTAGAGGAACCTAAAATCTCTTAGCATTTAGCACGACCACTCGGGAATTTGGAGCTAATAGCTGCTTTATTAGTCTTCCACCAACTAGGATGAAGCTGCTTCGAACCCGGCACAGGGACCTCTATTGTCCTGAAGTACCGCGTAGGCGAAATCCTCACGCGGTGCATGTACGGCTGTTTTCAACATCCTTGCTTCCTTGTCAGTATAACGAAGTCAACAAAACAGCTCTTGTGCTTTAGAGCACGCAAAATCTGCCCACTTTACCGCACACCCTCGACGCTAAACCCTACCGTGAAGCCACGCACTGATCTGCAAGTGGCATCCGGGATTGAGAGCGCGGTGAACGATTTGATCGGAAACTGCAGCCTCAGGTCTCGTCTGACCAACCCTATAAGGCTCCATGTACCCTTAGGCCTTAAAGGGGTCCCTATACAGGTACTTTGAGGCCTAAGTACATAATATATGGCTACATGGATCCTTAGGGCAAGAGCTTGAGGGTCTAGGGCCACTTGTTGTCATGACCACAGTTCATGCTCATCAAACAGTTTCTCGGATGTCTGTGCCGCGGTGTTCGTACTCCTACCATAGCCTGGTTTTCCCCTGAATGCTGAAGGACTACACCTACACTCTGAATACAATCGCACACAGCAGCAGCCAGAAGCCCAACTACTTAAACAAAAGCTTCGGAAGTACACAGGGTCTGTGATTAAGTAACCGATTATGCAAGCAGTACTGCTGATGGACAAAATCCTGCAATACCCTTTATAAGGAATATACCATAGTTCCCATAGTTTAGAGTCCTTAGGGTCATGCAGGATTCTGTCCATCAACAGTAGGGCTCCAAGGGAATGGCCACAAGTTGGGAGTTCCGTAGGTTTCATGTTACATTTGTGCTGTCGCGGGGATCAATGCAGAGCCTCTCCGGAATGAAAAGTCGAAAACCGTTGCCGGGCCGTCTTGAAAAGGAATGAACAAACCCTAAACCCTAACCGAAAGGACTCAAACAAAGCTTGAAGCATTGCAACCCTAAACCAGTGCTTAGCATAAGGCGATATTGGGCAAACTCTAAACCCTAAACCGCCCTGAACCCTAAACCCCAAGCCAAACCCACACCCTGAACCGCAGACACCCCTTCAGCTTGGCAGACTGCCAGATCTCTGTGGTAGCAGCAAGGGCTTGGGGTTCGAACAGGTCCTAGTTCTGATTTGCGTTGTGTAGCTTCAATCCTTTGTTTGGTGGGTGGGTGGCTTCAGGTTGCACGGCTGTTCCCCTTGAGTCTTGTTTATGGCTGTGCACCCAGAACCAACCGCCCCACCGTTGGGCATGATCCTTGCTCACCCTCAGCCCGAAGACATACTGCACCCTGCAAGCACCCTCAATCCTTCTATCGTTCAACCCGATTGAATCTCCATCCTTGAAAGCTCTAACACTTGAACCCTAACAAGAACCCAATACTTCTAGAACTCTCTGAATCCCGAAACCATTCCACCCTACCCAGAGCCTCCAAAACTCGTTAACTAAGGAATATACCTTAAATCATATCAGGGGATCCTAGTATAATATAAGGTCTACCTTAACCCCACGTAACCTACCTTTTTAAGGACCTTATATATTAGGGACCCTTGAAAAGGTAGGTTCCTCAGGGCCCAGGTATTCCTTAATGACGGGGTTTTGGAGTCTCCAGGTAAACCCTAAAACACTCGCGACTGCTAGGTGCGGTGCCACTCAAGCCAAGCGATAGCCAAACCTTGAGTTCCATTGTCTTTGTTGGGTTTAGGGTTTTGGGGCTTTGGCGATTTAAGGGTTTACGGTTTGTAGGGGTTTTGGGGTTTAGGGGTTTGGGGTTTAGGGTAGCTTGGCTTTCGAGAGCTGCTCTTACGGATTTTGAGCAGAAGAAGAAGCAGCAGCAGCAGCAAAGTAGGAGTACTAGTGGCAGTGGTAGTGGTAGCGGTGTAGTGGTAGTAGTACCAATGGTAGTGGTAGTAGTAGAAGTAGTAGTAGGAGTAGGAGTAGGAGTAGGAGTAGGAGAAGGAGTGGGAGTGGGAGTGGGAGTGGGAGCAGTAGCAGTAGCAGCAACAACAGCAGCTGCTGTCGTCGTCGTCGCTTTCGTAGTTGTTGTTGTCGCTGTACCAGTCTGGAACGGTCTGGTACTAGTAGTTGTACCAGTACTCATACAGCAGCATCAGCAGCAACAGCAGTGGTAGAGTAGTGGCACCACCCTCACGAGATTGTTGGCGCTCGTTTGTCCGACTAGAGGACTGAGGAAACGTACGAAACAACACAGTGCTTTCGGAATTGAAGCCGGGGAGCCACTCGCACTTTGCGTAGGTGGTCCCATTCCTGACGAAGCTGGAAACTGCTCCCAATCCGACTGAGCGACACAACCAACGCAACCAAGAACAACCATCTAAAGCCCAAGACCCAGGACCCTGTAATTAAACCCAATTCAGACAGCAGTTTTGGGCTTACGGGTTAGGGCTTCGGGTCTCTAGGGCAGCGACAAGCCCTGACATGTCAATGGAAAGACTTAGGCGGTTGCCGTGCACACACCCGCAGACTCCTAAAGTGAATGCCTCACAAATATGTTGCATGTGTGTGTGTGTGCGTGTGTATGTATGTATGTATAAACGTATATATGGACAAATATACATACATACATACATACATACATACATACCTATCTGCGTGTATATATGTACACATAGGTTTGTATATATATATATATATATGTCTATGTATCTATGTATCTGTGTATGTGCGTATGTGTGTATGTGTGTATGTATGTATGTATGTATGGATGGATGTATGTATGTATGTATGTAAGTATGCATGCATGCATGTATTTATGTATGTATGTGTGTTCGTGTGCATGCATGCATGCATGCATGCATGCATGCATGCACACATGCATGCATGCATGCACACAAACATGTATAAATGTACTTACAAACACACACATTTTTTTTGCTATATGGCACTGGCTCCCTTAATGAAAAACTGGCAGACCATAATGACATGTAATCGCCTAACGAATGGTGACGCCCAATGTGCTCACCAACCGCAAACCTGCGGCTCTAAAGCCCGAAACAATGCAAAGCCAAAATTTCGAATGACGTACGCCTCATAAGCCCTGACCAAGATCCAACACACATCCCGAAAAAAGGACTACTGAAATCCAACCCTTCCACCGAAAGCTCTACGAGTAGTGTCCTAAACCTTGAATCCAGCCCGCCCCCTCCAGAAATTCAGCAAATCCTGCTATAAACCCTAAGTAGCTGGACTCGTAACCCTAAGGCTCTGAATCCCTCCCGTGTATCCTTGCCACTAGCCCCATTAGAAGTGTAATTAAGCCCTATTAGCCCTAAACCCTGTAAACCCGAAACTCTATAACCACTTAAGCCTACACCCTAGAAGCCCTAAACCACCCCTAAACTCGATCAGCCTGAAAACCCTAAACCCTGGAAGCCTTAAACCTTATAAGCCCTAAACCCTATACGCCCTCAACCCTATAGGCCCTTACCCTAGGGATCAAAATAGCCCGAAAGCCTTACAAAGTATGGTCTTCGGGCCCAAAAACCTTAATATATGAGTGAGTTAAGCCGTAAAGGACACCGGACCTCGACCCTGTCGGTGAGCCAACAAGCCGACCTCTCTGCGCCGAGCGCACATGGGAGTTCTCGATAAATAGGGGGGCCCTAAATAATACCCTGGCTTAGGGTTTAGGGCTTATCAGAATCAGCTGTAGGACCATTGTACCCACAATTTTCGGAAACTCCCAAATCGAGATGTGGAGGGGTTCGTTAGGACTTCTTAGGGCTTTTGTTTATGGTTTAGGATTTAGGGTTTTGGGGTTACTTTGGAATTCGGGGTGCTTGGAGTTCAGGGGTTTGGGGTGTAGCGGGATTAGGGGGGTATTGGGTGTCAGGAGTTTAGGGCTTGTGGTTTAGGCTGTGTGGGGGGGTTTATAGGATTGGGATTCGGGGGTGGAAGGGTTAAGTAGTGGGCTTTACCGAACTCGTAGGGTGTTCGAAGGATCTCAGATTTTTTGTTCAAGCCCTTGAACCATCAGGGCTCGGGCTGTTGGAGTATTGCGCTTCCCCCCCCCAAGGACATGACAATACTGTGGGGTTCTTCCGGATGGAGTACAGAGTCCAGAACATAAGGGCCTTAATAGTTATAATAGGGTTTGCGTTTGCGGGGCCCATTATACTAGAAGTTTAACAAGGAAGCCCCACAATGGTATAGGTAATTATTAATTAAGGCCTCTGTATTCACGGACATCTGTCGGTCGTCAGGGAAGCGAGTCGAACGAGCCTGGTGTCACTTTGGCCAATCTCAGGACTTACCTAAAATGGAATCAAGACTAGCAATGATAGCGTCAGCTTCACGAAGCCAAGCGGACGCCGCGCGCACCCTGGTTCGGTGCATGATTTCTGTCTTCACGGGAGACGGCGAATTCTTTGAAGAACTAGTTCAATGTGACGTCCTCGAGCTTCATGAAGCACAGGCCACAGTGCGTTCGAGTTTTGGTGAATGTGCGTGTGCGGGTGTGTCTGTTGTAAGTGTGCGCTGTGCGCATGTGTGTGTGTGTGTACAGCCCTGATAGCAAGGGACCAAATCCGCAGGGGGCCATTCAGCCTTGCTATCAGGGAATGGCCAACGAAGAGCCTGATAGCAAGGTGCTGTAACGTACCTGCAAGGGGACCGAAACCATATCCCCGATGTGCCAGGGACAGAACCCAATCCCTACTACTTGGCATTTTGAACGTTTTACGCCCTGCCCGGACATCGCGCTTTGACCGTGGCAGTGGCAGCCATTCTCTATGTCTGGCTACCTATCCCCACATTATAATGCCAGGGACAGGACCCTTATCCCTACTACGGCATTTGACGACGACAGAGGACAGGACCCTCATCCTCACGACACGACTTAACGACGACCTGCATTAGGAAGTAAATCGCTCTAGCTACTCCGACCATGGAGTTTGCAAGTGTGTTCTCGACCGGCATTCTGTCAAAGGGCCGGGCGTAGCAACTTGATTCATTATAGTAGTTCACAAGTCTTTGGCATATACGGCTCGACCGAGTGGACGGCATACGCCCCCCCCCCGGGGGATGGACATGGGGGCCAAGATGACATGCACCCAGTCGATAAAAAACCGCCTATTTGCGGATCGCGTGCCATCTATTTGTGCGCGGAAGGTCTTTCTTTTTCCGTCAAGATGCGCCGACAGGTTCCTAGTCCGATCTCTTCTCGGGCTTTTGCAAATCCAGAGCCTTCGAACAAAGGTGGCTTTGCAGGGATGTGTCAGAAACACGCCTTACCTTAAACCGAGCTTCGCAAAGCCTTCGCAAGTTTTCCAAGCAGGGTTGCCTGGTGGCCTTGTGCGGATGAGCCAGAAACAACGCCTATATACATAACCTATACAAAAAGCATGCGCCACGCCGTGAATATTGCCAGCCAGGCTGCTAGACCTCTTGCAGCTATGTTTTACTCGGCAATGTTACTCTACACAAATGGCTGGCACATCAGCACCCGCACACAGGCACATGCAACACCCCATCACAATGCCATTCGTGTGGACGCCCGGCTCCAAACTTCAATGGGGCTTTGGGCTTTGGGTAAAGGATCATCTAGTTGTGGCTCACAGTTTCGGGTTCTGGCATAGTGAACAATAAAAGGCCCGGAATGAGAGATGCTAGACCGGGACCTCTTGCAGCTATGTTACTCTGCACAAATGGCTGGCACACCAGCATCCACACGCAGGCACGCGCAGCAACTTGCAAGGACAAGAAAGTCCCCGTCGTCTTCCTCGCCAGAAGCCTGAGCGCAGGCAACACGAAACTCGAACCGGAGCATGCGCGGCAGCGAGATTCAAAAGTGGGAGCAAAGGAGAAACGTGCTCCGAAAGAAAACTGCCTAACGAAATATTCGGCGGTTTGCGAGTGTGTGCGCGTGCAGGAGTGCCTTGTGCTGGTAAAGCTAGAGCCCGCCTCGCGTGTGTATAAGCATGTGTAAGCTCTCCCGATCTCCCTCCTATCCGCGTCGCTCAGGTCTGTCTGGCGAGGAAGACGACGGGGACTTTCTTGTCCTTGCAAGCTCAAGATCCAGGCCCAAAGACGCGTCGCCCGCCCAGCGAGGTCAGACCTGAGCGACGCGGATAGGAGGGAGATCGGGAGAGCTTACACATGCTTATACACACGCGAGGCGGGCTCTAGCTTTACCAGCACATGGCACTCCTGCACGCGCGCACACTCGCAAACCGCCGAACATCCGAACAAACCCTCAGAGGCGCCGGCATGGGATGACAAAGGTCCGGATCTGGGCAACACACTCGCGGGGCAAAAGGGGGACCTACGGGCACGCCAGGAAGGCACACAAATTGATGGCACATGTGAGGCACGCTTCCACGAAATGCACTGCGCCCACAACAGTCGCTCCTACACGGTCCTACACCCCTCACTCCTGCCAGACTGAAGACAAGGCCCAGGCCGGTGCACGAGTGAGGACCACAGTGAGGATGTCGAGTCAAGGTTGCCTGGGCAGCACAAGACAAAGGTTTAGGCTCGGGAGGACAGGAAAGGAGAAGTAAGCCAAAGAAGAAGACGCTGCAGTTTTTTAAAAACGCATGCACCAGCGGCCACACGAATGCATGGCACATGAGGAAGGTACCAACGCACAAGTCGAAGGAGGCGCACAGGCCCCGAGCAGCACCTAGGCACACACTCGCAGGACTCCTGCGAATCGGGATGGGGTTTACGGCAAAAGGCCGGGGCAGCAGAACCAGGCACTCCTGCACGCACACAGACACTCGCTCGAGAAAGAAACCCCACACAAACCCAGACCCTTCCAAAAACAAAAGAAACCCCGGCAAGCACTCTGAGTTCTGAAGCTCAGGTCCGGACTCACCGACGAAGCGACGTGCAACAAATGGGCCGCAAATTGTGTGTTGTTTTAAGCCAATCGAGAATTGCAATCAGATGTGCCAGGCATTTGTGTCTACTACTGCTGCTGCTGCTGCGCTGCTAGGATATGTTCAAAACACTTCCGCTATGGCCTAGCCTAGAGCTCGGCGGCGGCGCGGCAAGGTGCAAAATCATCGAAAAACTGAATAATTGTTTCAAGCCACACTCCCAAAATATTGTGGCAGCATGATGTTTGGATTTTAAGGAGATTAGGGTATTCGGGCATTGAGGCATTAGGGCCATTAGGGCCATTAGGGTTTTTTAAGCCAATCGAGAATTGCAATCAGATGTGCCAGGCATTTGTGTCTACTCCCCAAGCCCCCTCTTCTGAGCCCAAGTTTTCGTCAGATATGCCAAGGATTTGTTCTAAGA